AAGTTATATTCATTCATCTTGTGTTTGTGAACAAACTATATTCATCCATCTTGTATCTGTTAACAAGCTATATTCATTCATCTTGCATCTGTGAACAAGCTATATTCATTCATCTTGCATCTGTTAACAAACTATATTCATCCATCTTGTATCTGTTAACAAGCTATATTCATTCATCTTGTCTCTGTAAACAAGCTATATTCATTCATCTTGCATCTGTTAACAAACTATATTCATTCATCTTGTGTCTGTGAACAAGCTATATTCATTCATCTTGTGTCTGTTAACATGCTATATTCATTCATCTTGCATCTGTGAACAAGCTATATTCATTCATCTATTGTCTTTTAACAAGCTATATTCATTCATCTTGTGTCTGTTAATAAGCTATATTCATTCATCGTGTGTCTGTTAACAAGCTATATTCATTCATCTTGTGTCTGTTAACAAGCTATATTCATTCATCTTGTGTCTGTGAACAAGCTATATTCATTCATCTTGTGTCTGTTAACAAGCTATATTCATCCATCTTGTGTCTTTTGATCTTAAAGTTTTTTTTTTTGGTAAATTTTGATCTGTACAATTTTTCTGCTCTTATAGCACAATGAAAAAATTAATTTAATTTTCATAAAAAACAGCTTGTTAACAGACACAAGATGGATGAATATAGCTTGTTAAAAGACACAAGATGAATGAATATAGCATGTTAACAGACACAAGATGGATGAATATAGCTTGTTAAAAGACACAAGATGAATGAATATAGCATGTTAACAGACACAAGATGGATGAATATAGCTTGTTAACAGACACAAGATGAATGAATATAGCTTGTTATAACCACTATCTAATATACCAACTTTATTATCAATGCTCAGGTTATAACTACTATCTGATATGGATGCTTGAGTTGTGACTCAAAAGTTGAGATGAAAACCAGTGTAACCTAATTATGCCTCTACAGAGAAACATAGTTTTTTTTTTGTTTTTTCTTCTAAACACTTTTCAATCAATGCAATTCCTCAATTTCCTTGCAAATTGATTTGAAACTTGGTAGAGTTATACCTTGGTCCATTATACCCAGACACCCTTTTAATTGACTTGAAACTTGGTAGAGTTATACCTTGGTCCATTATACCCAGACACCCTTTTAATTGACTTGAAACTTGGTAGAGTTATACCTTGGTCCATTATACCCAGACACCCTTTTAATTGACTTGAACCTTGGTACATTATACCCAGACAACCTTCTAATTGACTTGAACCTTGGTAGGGTTAAACCTTGGTCCATTATACCCAGACAACCTTCTAATTGATTTGAAACTTGGTAGGGTTATACCTTGGTACATTATACCCAGACAACCTTCTAATTGATTTGAAACTTGGTAGGGTTATACCTTGGTACATTATACCCAGACACCCTTCTAATTGGTTTGAAACTTGGTAGGGTTATACCTTGGTCCAATATACCCAGACACCCTTTTAATTGATTTGAAACTTGGTAGGGTTATACCTTGGTCCATTATACCCAGACACCCTTTTAATTGACTTGAACCTTGGTAGGGTTAAACCTTGGTCCATTATACCCAGACAACCTTCTAATTGATTTGAAACTTGGTAGGGTTATACCTTGGTACATTATACCCAGACAACCTTCTAATTGATTTGAAACTTGGTTGGGTTATACCTCGGTCCATTATACCCAGACACCCTTTTAATTGATTTGAAACTTGGTAGGGTTATACCTTGGTCCATTATACCCAGACACCCTTTTAATTGACTTGAAACTTGGTAGGGTTATACCTTGGTACATTATACCCAGACACCCTTCTAATTGGTTTGAAACTTGGTAGGGTTATACCTTGGTCCAATATACCCAGACACCCTTTTAATTGATTTGAAACTTGGTAGGGTTATACCTCGGTCCATTATACCCAGACACCCTTCTAATTGATTTGAAACTTGGTAGGGTTATACCTTGGTCCATTATACCCAGACACCCTTTTAATTGACTTGAAACATGGTAGGGTTATACCTTTGTCCATTATACCCAGACACCCTTTTAATTGATTTGAAACTTGGTAGGGTTATACCTCGGTCCATTATACCCAGATACCCTTCTAATTGATTTGAAACTTGGTAGGGTTATACCTTGGTACATTATACCCAGACACCCTTCTAATTTGATTTGAAACTTGGTAGAGTTATACCTTGATCCAATATACCCAGACACCCTTTTAATTGACTTGAAACTTGGTAGGGTTATACCTTGGTCCATTATACCCAGACACCCTTTTAATTGACTTGAAACTTGGTAGGGTTATACCTTAGTCCATTATACCCAGACACCCTTTTAATTGATTTGAAACTTGGTAGGGTTATACCTCGGTCCATTATACCCAGACACCCTTCCAATTCATTTGAAACTTGGTAGGGTTATACCTCGGTCCATTATACCCAGACACCCTTCTAATTGATTTGAAACTTGGTAGGGTTATACCTTGGTCCAGTATACGCAGACACCCTTTTAATTTTTTTTTCTATTTAGGCCTTTTTTAGAATTTTATGGAGTCAAATGCCAAACAACCCAGAAATGTATATTTTGGGCTCCTGTGAAGTTATATTTATAGCATACAAGATGAAAGTTTGTACAACACATTGACTTACAAAAAAGTTGGATTTGTCCATTTTGAGTCTTTTTAGGAGGTCAAAGTTCACATAAAAGCATAATTTTAGGGTTTGAGTCTATTACTTAGTCTTGTTTTGACCAATTTATATGAGATTTGGTAGAAAGATACTTCTCTACAGGTCCCACACATTGACGATACTTCTCTACAGGTCCCACACATTGACGATACTTCTCTACAGGTCCACACATTGACGATACTTTTTCTACAGGTCCCATACATTGACGATACTTCTCTACAGGTCCCACACATTGACGATACTTCTCTACAGGTCCTACACATTGACGATACTTCTCTACAGGTCCAATACGTTGATGATACTTCTCTACAGGTCCTACACATTGACGATACTTCTCTACAGGTCCCACACATTGACGATACTTCTCTACAGGTCCTACACATTGACGATACTTCTCTACAGGTCCCACACGTTGACGATACTTCTCTACAGGTCCAACACGTTGACGATACTTCTCTACAGGTCCCACACGTTGACGATACTTCTCTACAGGTCCCACACGTTGACGATACTTCTCTACAGGTCCCACACGTTGACGATACTTCTCTACAGGTCCCACACGTTGATGATACTTCTCTACAGGTCCCACACGTTGATGATACTTCTCTACAGGTCCCACACATTGACAAACAGAAATGTTGGACTTGACCATTTTTAGTAATTATATGGAGATCAAGTTCCCACAAAAAAACATAATTGTATAGTTTTTTGACAATTACTCTACTGTATATTTGGCCAGTTTACGTGGGATTTGGTACAAAGATACCTTCTTGCAGGTCCCAAGCAGTAATATGGACAGTTTTTGATTTTTCTGGTATCAAAATTGGCCACATTGAAGACATGTGGCAATGAAATGTTAGTCTCTCAGACAACTAGCATAATTATTTGTGTGTGTGTGTGAAAAGTCAAACATTGAACCAAAAACCTCAGGAAATCTTTATATGGTGTTTCAAACATGAAAATCTCGGTTAATACAAAAGTAATCCACTCCTTTCAGAACTAATCTAAATCAGTTTTTAAATATACCCTAATATCCTTCACCTTGAATGACTCTTCTTGTAATTTGAAAGCTGTGTAAGTGGTTATAGGTGTTATTATTGTCAATTTCTTATGTACTCTTTCAATCACAAGTACTTATATGTTGCCAGGAGAGTACCAGAGACTCCGTCAAACTTCAGCCCGATGAACGAGAGTCTTTAGTGGATCATATAGCGTCAGAACTAGGGTTAAAAAAGGTTGGATGGATTTTTACTGATCTCATTGCTGAAGACCTTCAGAAAGGAACTGTGAAGTACCTTCGAAATGCTGTGAGTTTTCCTGCTTCTATCAAGTAGACAACATTTAAAACGGGAACTGTAGATACGTGTGAAGCATTCTAGAGGTTTCTACGTATTTGTTTTGTGTGTTAAAGCTATAACAGGTTGTTTAACGATTGCCACTCGTAGAATCTGTTTGAAATTAGTCCTTTGAGTGAGAAGATCATTTTATATTTGCCTACTGTATGTTAATTTAATATTAACTTCCGATCATAGCAGGCTACATACTGAAAATGAAACTAAAAACGAACCCGGTCATCAGTATAGCTAACTAAATATACTTTTTTTACATTCCTAGATTAGAATGTACTGTTTCATCAGTGGGGTCTCCTTGCTTTTAATGATATATCTGGTTGTAATCATAATAATATATTACAAGGTTCAATCAGCTTAGGTTAGCCCTAAACACACGTATTAAACTAACAGTGCAAAACTATCAATAAGAAATGTATAATAACACGGAAACACTAGCTGTTGGCCCAACACTTAGGGAACATGGAAACACTAGCTGTTGGCTCAACACTTAGGGAACATGGAAACACTACCTCTTGGCTCAACACTTAGGGAACACGGAAACACTAGCTGTTGGCTCAACACTTAGGGAACATGGAAACACTACCTGTTGGCTCATCACTTAGGGAACATGGAAACACTACTTGTCGGCTCAACACTTAGGGAACACGGAAACACTAGCTGTTGGCTCAACACTTAGGGAATACGGAAACACTAGCTGTTGGCTCAACACTTAGGTAACAAGGAAACACTAGCTGTTGGCTCAACACTTAGGGAACAAGGAAACACTAGCTGTTGGCTCAACACTTAGGGAACACGGAAACACTAGCTGTTGGCTCAACACTTAGGGAACACGGAAACACTAGCTGTTGGCTCAACACTTAGGGAACACGGAAACACCAGCTGTTGGCTCAACACTTAGAGAACACGGAAACACCAGCTGTTGGCTCAACACTTAGGGAATACGGAAAAACTTGCTGTTGGCTCAACACTTAGGGAATACGGAAAAACTTGCTGTTGGCTCAACACTTAGGGAATGCGGAAAAACTTGCTGTTGGCTCAACACTTAGGGAACACGGAAAACTTGCTGTTGGCTCAACACTTAGGGAACACGGAAACACT